AGAAGTTACACAAGCAAAAGCTGTGAGCAAGTTTGGGTGTACATAAATACCCAAGCAGAAGTTACACAAGCAAAAGCTGTGAGCAAGTTTGGGTGTACAAAGTTTGGGTGTAGATAAATACCCAAGCAGAAGTGTACATAAATACCCAAGTAGAAGTTACACAAGCAAAAAGCTATGAGCAAGTTTGGGTGTACATTAAATACCCAAGCACAAGTTACACAAGCAAAAGTTGTGAGCAAGTTTGGGTGTACATAAATACCCAAGCAGAAGTTACACAAGCAAAAAGCTGTGAGCAAGTTTGGGTGTACATTAAATACCCAAGCAGAAGTTACACAAGCAAAAGTTGTGAGCAGGTTTGGGTGTACATTAAATACCCAAGCAGAAGTTACACAAGCAAAAGTTGTGAGCAGGTTTGGGTGTACATTAAATACCCAAGCAGAAGTTACCCAAGCAAAAAGCTGTGAGCAAATTTAGGTGTACATAAATACCCAAGCAAAAGTTATGCAAGTAAAAAGCGGCGAGCAAGTTTTTGGTGTACCCTGACAAAAGCTATGCAAGATGTGCTACAGAGGTTAATGCAAATTTCAGAATATAAGGAAACATCTCACAATGAAGGCAACAATATAAGCAATAGCATGAGGAGCCAATTGGGGAAGGCTAATAGAGAATTCATCACAAATTTCAAGAAAAAAAGGATGCAAAGGAAAACGCAACCCACATGAAAATTGATCCTTGTAGACACACATGTTAGGAGGAAGGCATTGAAACACCGCACGATGCACGAGATGTTGGGAAGGAAAAACCTGTGGATTTATCAAGTTCTTTTTATAAATCTCCCTAATCTCATCCACATCACAACTATTGGTAACCCAAGACACCTTATCAAGATCGCAGAACACCTTCGCTGAGCGTAGAGGGAGAACAACTTTTCCACCCTTTGAAGAAGAAACCAAAGGAACCTTTGTAGGAATAGAAGATCCCTCTCCACATGGCGTGAAGCACCTTTCACAACAAACTTCCCATCTGCATTACGGGGAAGGCAGAAAACATCAAAAAATTTAGACAAAGAAAAAGAAGGTGGAGTACCCATGCCATCAGCAGAAGTAGGAATCGGTAAAAAACCAGAAGCAAAAGGATCAATAGCCATGGTAGGCACAACCAACACAACACGAAGTCAGAAAGGGTCTACCTGCAGAAAGAAGAAACCAAAAAAGCAACCGACACAGCACCAAATAAAAAACGCCTATCTGTAGAAAGAAGAAACCGAAAAAGCAAAAAGAAAGAGAAAAAATAAAAAATAAAGAAAGAAAACAAAAGGAAACCGAAATGAAAAAGGAAGTCAAACAAAAAAGAAAAAGAAGAATTAGGAAACCCAAGAAAGCTCCATTTGAAAGCCAAAAGGATAAATTGCAAAAAATCCCAAGGAAATAGGGATTTAAACTTGGAAGGACCCGTTGTACCAATAAACCATACAATGGGGGCCACGTGCATAAAAAGAGGCTGCCAAGAAGTAGAAAATTTAGGAAATGCAACTGTGGAGATATGGAAAAATAAAGAAAGGACCTAAACAAATCAACACAAACTGCAAAACAATTAATTTTAACAAAAATCTTTAATGAGGAAACTACGCCAAGAATCATGAAGGAAAAACCTGCGTTGCACTCTTTTTTCCTTAAGCAAGATTTTTTATCCCACAGGGTTTTTTCTAGTTAAGGTTTTTAACGAGGCAACCATGGTTGAAAAAGTTGGAACCTGTGCAGAATTCAAAACCAAGACCAGCAGAGCAATAAGAAAGACAGACACCCGTTGAAGTTTTCACTACCCTCAAACTTCTTCATTAGGGGGCAAATGTTCTACCCTAAATCAAGTCCTATGAGAATCAGGACACGTGGAGACATTCTAGAGATAGTACTATCAAAGTTGGGTAAGATAAATCCCACTAGAATAAGAATACCTCAAACATCAATTGAATAAAATTGTATTCCTAGAATAACTGTATTTAAGCATCCTATAAATACCTCTAGGATCAACCTAAGGAGGTAGATTATTTTTCCATCATCATTCTCTCTTCATTATAAACTCTCTCTATCAACAAAGATCTTGGTTCCACACCATTTTTTCTATTTTTTACTGTTAACAAAAGCTTACAAAAACCTTACACAAGCAAATCTGATTGAGATGGAACAAGACAACACCAAATAAAATGTTACAATGAATCAGTAAATGGAAGTAATTTTGAACAAAAGAAAGAAACCATTGTTAAAGTATACACTGTATAAAATTATACTAGAAGGAAACTAGAACACGAATCAAATTGTACACTGTATTCCCATGCTTGGAAGTAGTTTTGCTTACAAAGAAAGAACTGGTATTAGATACCAATACATCTAATAAGTTAATTCTAGCATTATTCTGAACAGGATTGACAATGTGAATCTAACTGTACCTTTGAATCTCCAAAACTATCGAGGACATAGCTCTGTGATTGAAACTTTATTATTTGTCAAAGGGAGTGATTCTTCTTTTAATCTCTTTGAGTTTGATACCCATGAATTATAGCCCTGTGAGGATGACATATCTAATTCAATGGTGCTATGCATAAAAAATGCAGGTTGAGAGGGCACTGGGAGACTGGTTGAATTGCTACTAAGTGTGAGAACAATTGAAGCCATGGTTGGTCTGTCAGCAACATTTTCTTGAACACATAGCAAACCAATATGGATGCATCTCATCATTTCAGCCATTGAACCGTTCCTCAAAATTGGATCTATGAGATTTAATCCTGTCCCTTCCCTCCAGTTTTTCCATGCCTGCAAAAAGTTACAAATGCACACGGGCATGAGGCATCAAAATGTGATCCAAGTAAGAATGAACTTTTATTTAGCCAAAGTGGGAAACTTAACTCTATATTTTCACACTTACATAAGTTAGTAGGTCCTCTATGTTCTCCCCATTTCGGAAACAACTATTTTTCTGACCACTTACAATTTCCAAAAGTAACACGCCAAAACTGAAGACATCCGACTTTATTGAGAATTGCCCATGCATTACATACTCTGGAGCCATGTATCCACTGCAATTATATCAATGACAATGGGATCATTTTCAAGATAAAAAATGATACTCATGTTCTAGTATTTTCTTAATGCAATACATAAGAAAGCCATTCTTGGTAACTTTCATGCTGTCAATAAGGAATAGACCTAATTGGATATTTATTTGTACAAGAACCAATTTAAAGTTTTACTATGTTTGATATATACTAAGTTCCCACAATTCTACTAGTATTGCCTTGTGTTTCATCTCTAACAAATAATCTTGCCATGCCAAAATCTACAATTTTAGAGTTCATATCTTCATCTAACAAAATGTTACTTGCTTTGAGATCACGATGAATTATTCGAAGACGAGAATGCTCATGTAGGTAAAGGAGGCCACGAGCTATGCCTCTGATGATTTTGTAACGGCTTTCCCAATTTAGTTGTGCGCACTTGATTGGATCTATGTGTTCATAGTTCATATGAGAGTATGTCACTAACCATAAAAAAAAAGGACCAATGACTAGGATATGAATTTAAAGAAGTTGAGGGCTTTGCAGATGACCAGAACATAAAGGTGTGACCCCTTCAAACATGCAAACTCAAATGTAATTATTTATGAACAGAATTGAAATATGAATCAAGAGCAAAATCTAAAGGGCACCTACCAAAAATAAAATGATCAAGGCTTGTGTTTGGCACAAATTCATAGATGAGAAGTCTTTCATCTCCTTCCAAACAGAACCCCAAGACTCTTACCAAATTCCGGTGTTGAAGCTTGGCCACTAAGAGAACCTCATTCTTGAATTCTAAGTCTCCTTGTCCAGAACCACTAGATAACCTTTTCACAGCTACTTCTTGTCCATTTGGAAGCTTGCCCTGTATATAAAATCGTGTGGTACTAACTAAATTTAAGTTCAATGAATACCAAATTTGAAGCTAATTCAATACACTCAGATGTTTAATAATTAATGTTGTTTTTTTATTCATAAGATCCATTACCTTGTAAACTGCTCCAAATCCTCCTTGTCCAAGTTTATTTTCATCACAGAAGTTATTAGTTGCGGCCCGAACAGTGGCTAAGTCATATTGCAAAGACTCCGTTTGGATCATTTCATCTGCTTCTGCACCTGCCAAAAGCAATACATGGGATATGGGTAAGATTAATGGCATTCTCGGTAGGAGGAGTGCATTTCAAAAATATTAGTATTACTTACTTTCAAAAATTTCTCTTGGCTTTTTGCGTCTTAAACAGATCCAAATACAGAAGACAAGTGACAGAATACCGATAATCGAGGGAATAACGGCAATGATGATTATTCGAGTTGTGTTGCTCGCATTTCCATTTCCTGCACAATCCAAAGTTTCCACTCATGTCTTGAATTCTATGGAATTTAATTATCTTTGACGTAGTAAATAGAAGTGTTATATATATATATATATATATTAGGGATCTACTTATATAAAAGTTTTATACACAATACTTATATAAAATCTTGATCATTTATCTTTTTACTTTTAATGGTTGAGATTTATTATGATTTTTTAAATAAAAAAATAAATTATCTTTAATATATATAAATAAACCTCAATTATTGAAAGTGGAGAGAAAAATGAT